GCGTGCGATCGGTGTCACATGGTTGTGCCCATGAAGCGAACCACATGTCAGCAGAGCTGACGAACTGCTAACTTTCCTCTGCCTTTGTCCCCCGCAGATCTCTAACTGTCCAGTGGAAGCAAATGGACCCCCCCCCACCCCATCCCCCAATGGAACTCCATACTCCTTGGTAGTCTCGCCAATTTCTCAAGGCCTGAACTTTTCCTGAGCAGCAGGGAGACGGACCGAAAGCAGCACTTACTGTGGGAGCTTCCCAAAACCTGCTCCCCCAGAGCCTCCAGAGCCTCCCATCTTCAGTCTCTGAAGGCCTGGTGTACCTAGAATATCACCCCCCCCCCCCCTTCAACACACACATACAGTTTATGCAGTGAGATTCCAGTGAGATTGTGTTATGTGGGTGGGGTCAAGATGACAATTTAAAAAAGAAAAATGACAAAGGAGCAGGTATTGAGCAGGGTCTTGTAGTCGCTCTCTTTTGGTGCAGAAGTGGAAATGGATGGATGGATGGACATATATTTCTCTCTATATATATGTAGAAAACCTTTTGGATATTTTTCTTTGTTTGTGCCTCCAGCTTTGTTTTTCCTTCCACAAAAGGAGACCCACGAGGCTTGTGGAAACTTGGAGTTAGACTGTGCGTTGGGTGGAAAGCTCACCTCCCCTGGACACTATAATGAAGTAAACAATGGAGGATGTAAGGAGTCTGCGCCCTGGAAATCAGTTAGAGCTCTCATGATTTACTCATGCTTACTGGAACAACATGCATGGCACTAAGGGAAATGCAGTGTCGGTTGGCATGGAGCTGCACGGTGCTCATTCGCACTAAATGAAATCTCCATGCACACGTGGTTGGAAGGTGCAAGATCGTAACTGTAAACACAGTTTCAGATCATGACCTTACAGTCAAAGATATAAAATGTATACATTTCTAAAAACCTGAAAAAACATTTTTTTTTTATATCTTCAAGGCTTCTGTAGGCTTTTTCCCTAGCAGTCATTTTGCTTTTTTTAAAAAAATGTTTATGAATCATGTTATAACAAGATACGATAATCTGAATAATACTATAAAGGATCATTTATCCAGCTTTGTTTTGTTGTTAAAACATGCCTCTTTTATATTTTTACCAGCATTTATTTGTAGTTATTAACTTGCCAATGAGCCATTCTTTGTATTTCCTTCGCTGTCTCCCCCCCCCCCCCACCCCACAACAATCTTGCGATATTTGTTTTCCTGCCGTTTGGCATTGAACGCTCAAAGCAAGGAGCTAGATTGCCTCTATTAGAAATGCAGTTCCCATTCTTGATTCATGTGCAGTTTTTAAAGCGTGCCGGATGCCCAAGAGTAGTTGCTGCTGGTGACGAACACAGGACACAGCTCCTTACCACTTACCATGCAGATATGCAGCATGTGCATGCTCTCTCCTCTTGGGCTACAGTTATGGCTAAGCAGTCCCTGACATCAGTCTGATGGTTACAGTAGTGTGGCTCAGTTCACATTTGTTTTATTCACTATTGTATTTTTTCCTATGGGCCTGTGAGTTGGACAGTGATGCAATTTAATTTGTTAGACGTCGACATAGCAGGATTGTGTTGAATATTGTAAAATTGCCAGGGGACAAACTCTCACATGGCCTCAGTGCAGGGATCTCATGCTCTAGATGGTCGCTGTCTGGTTATCCTAGCAATTCGTCATCGTTTTCACAAGAACGCCACAGAAGGCATGGTTAGGTATGTTATTAAGCGCACAAAGATTGTTTGTTACCTCCCTCCCTTGCCTTGCACATGATGTAATTATGTAAAAAATCTAATTAAATGTATTGTATGTTTTTCTTCAGGCATGCATGTGAATGTTGGCACTGTGGTTAACTGGTAGGTTTCCTCACCTAATGGTCGTTTAGCGTGAGAAATGTTCATTGTCTGTTCTCCGTCCAGTGCAGCTCCACCGACAACAGCCGCTAGCTGAATAGAAGGACATGGTTGCAAAAAAAAGTAAATGATGGTATGTTGTCACGGGAACTGCATTTTTCATAAGCGTCCTGCCCTTTGTGCCCTTCGCTTTGTCACAAAGACAAACTTCCATCCTCATCTTGTCTTCTCCATTTATGAATTTCATTCTCACTGTTTTTTTTTTTTTGTGAAGGTGCATGTATTGCACTGTTCAGTGAAGATGAGAGTAACAAGGCAGCTACGTTTGAATACAAACATAATTAGTAACCGGCGAATGGGTCCTTCTGAATGGGTCCAGCTGGGTTCTGGCGTTTCCCAAAGTCCTAAACAACAGGGAGAAACTGCAACCATTTTCACAAAGTTGCATTTGCATAAATATACCAAAGAACTAAAATAAAGATGTTATGACTAAAGAAATTATAATGGAATTATAATTAATGCCAGATTTCCTTAAAATTTGAATCATTGTCATAAAATGGGTAAAAGAAAACTACCCAAAATAACTAGCTCACACTGCATTTGGTTTATTATAATATCTAAATAAACTTTACATATCCCAAGTACAAATTAAGTGCACACAGTTTTGTGGAAAATAACTAGTGGCACTTTTTTTTTCTTATGAATGTCGTCCCCCATCAGACGCTGATTATGTTACACTCTCCAGTAACGCACATTTCACTAAGCTGCATGTATCCTGCAGTTTGGCCTTTTTGATATTTGAGAGATGTTAGGCTTCCAAAGCATTTGATACAATTTTATCAATATCTTTTTGGTTATTTTGACATTGTTCAAAAATCGGGCAGTGTGTGTGAGAGTTTTTATCATTTTGCCGAGTCGAAACAGCTGAGTTGTCTTTTGACAAAATTTGATGGTTGTCGTTGGCCAGTTCTAAGCAGAACATCAAAGTCTAGCTGCCTGCTTGACGAGGCCTGTAATTCACTCCAGACTCAAAGGTGGGTGAATTATTATGGGATTATGAGACCTTGGACCTTAACTATGTAAGTCATTTGCTGTTTTGTTTCTTTGTTGACTGCTTTCTGCCATCACCCTCTAAGTCTGTTGAGGAAGACTCCTTTTCTGGGTGGCATACTGTACAACTACACAATAGCCATTGGTTTTTGCATCATTTTCTGCATGTCTTACAACAATGGAAGCACTAGCTGCTGTAGATATTTATTTTTAGCTGGCCTTTTTAATGGTTTCTTTGTGAACCCAAGTATATTAATCAAAATGCAGTATCAGTGTATTATGCATATTCTCTTTTTTTATTACTTGTTTGTCTCTGTTTATCCTCGTGTCACATGGTCTTGTAAAGGCCCCCATTTACCGCAAACATGTTTTACATTTTCAGCAAGTCATTGTATGATGTAAGCCTTTTCTTGTTTTTAAAAATACAAGTCTTGTAGCTTTCATTTTGCCTTGTAAAATGCATGAATAGTCTACCTTTATATGTTTTCCTTTTGCTTTGCAATGATAATATTCCATCTTTATTATTAAAGAGATTTTTAATGCCTTGAATCACATAAATCTTTGTGTCCTTCCAGAGCCCTCCACAAATAATAGTGTGTAATGAAAACATAAAACCATTGTGGAAAGAATCTGAAAGACTTATGCTCTCCTTTATTGTGGGAATGATACCTAAAAGAGAGCAGACACATGTTTTTATCCACAATTTTAAGATTTTCACAAGCCTCCATGTTTATTTTTTGACTTGTTTTTAATGAATGGGCTAGAAGGCGATACCCATCTCTGAAGATTCAAGAGATTTCAACTCTCCCCCAGCAGAGTCGAGAATAAGAAGAAAAACATGCGACTTTGATGTTTCAAAGGCACATTTTGATGTGACTAAAGGAACACCACCAATGCTGCCGTACATTATGGGTTCACATCCCTTTGATATGAAAGGTGACCTGCGTCTGTTTGTGATTTAATGCTATACCAGCAGAAATGGCTCAAATTCTGCTGGGTTGCCTGTTTTTATTCAAGCTAATTTAAAACCACTAAAATTATATAACATTTCTATTTTATGAAGGAAGTCGACAATAAGTGCTACACGCCCTAAATGTCACTGGAGAGTAACGATTAGGACACGACTCTACTGCTACTGGAAGTATGGATCAGAACTGGACAACGTTACTTCAACATCCTTGGGGTGTTCCTATCCCACAGGATGTCCATCCAGAAGGGCATTGCTGCCCTTCCCACAGCACTGGAGCCAGATACTGCTGAATCGTACGCTCCACTGCCACAGCCTAAAGAAACACGTTCTTCACAACAACCCATGCATAACACACCTGAACTCACATGGCCTCCTGACTTCTGAGCCATATCTAATCTATATTTCCATATTTCAAATATGTATACCAGCCAAGAGTTTGGGTTGGGTAGTCTTGCTGGAAACTATGTATTTCCCAAGGCTCCATGCTCCATGCTCCTGCTGCCAGAAGGAGGAAGAATTTCATATTCAACAATGGTGTCCTGAAATCCAGATTGTATTGGCCACCATAGAGCCCACTTCCCTAGCTGGTCCCCCTCTGTTTTTAGCCATTTTCTCCCCCACGTTGCCCCATATGAAAGTTTCGCTCCCCCATCCAGCTGCAGTATCCCATGGATCTGTTTACCATCAGCTTGCATTTCTGCATTATAGAAGTCACTTTACAAAAAGAATCTGCTAAATGAGTCAAAGGAAAAAATGCCTAAAATTGCTAAATCCCTCCTTCAGGGCCCAGTCAAGGAAATGACATTTACTCCTGAATCATTCTGACCAATAAGTTAGTCACTCTCCAGTGGAAGTACTGATCCACTGTAATAAGGTTCTGCAGCCTTATAGACCATGCATTATCAATAGTGTATTAATGCCTGAAGATATTGCAATTAAAACATAGGCCATCGTTCACTATTATGCCATTCAGTAGTAATAAAAAATTAAATTTACACAAAACTATCATACCCTGATTAGTTTGACCTTTTGGTTATTCAATTTACATAATGTTGTGAGATTAAAATGGAAAAATATAGAGCTCTGGAAAAAATCAAGACCATAGCAAAATCTTCAGTTTCACTCATTTCTCAATTTATGGGCATGCATCTGTTTCAATTTTTTTCCATATTCCAGCCTGGCTCTCCTCAGCTTTTCATTTATGAAGGGTTTCTTCCTTGCTTTATGGATCTTCAGTCCTGCTTGTAGGAACCTGTTGTGAATTGTCCCAACAGTGCATGTCACACCAGTTGATGTTTCCCATTCTTTTTGAAGGTCACTTGAGGTCATCCCCCGATTTATGAGGCATTGCTGGATAAATTGATGGTCATCTCTGACATTAGAAAGTCGCTTCTGCTCTCTGCCAGGCTGGTTTTTGGTTATCGCCAGTGTCTCCTGCTTCACCTTGTTCTCATGTACTGCTGTCATAGAAACTTTGAGCCTGGAAGCAGCCTGCCACACAGTGTAGCCTTCTGCCAACAGATCCAGAATTAAACCTGGATTTTAAAATGCAGAATTTTAAAAAACATAGTCGTCTCAAAATTTTTTCAAGAGCGGTATGTAGCTGAGATGAAATATGAAATTCAACTGTTTGGATATTTAGTTGATCGGGCCTTAAAGAGACAGAAAGAATACATGATGATTTTTCATGAAGATAAAGGGATGTAATACAAAGATATATATTCATGCATGCACACATGCACACATATATAATCAATGTTAAAATCAATCTTGTAAATGAGGGACTTTATTTTGTTTCATCTCCATTAAAACACTGCTTTCTCTGTGATCTCATCTGACTGAAGCAGTCCTTATTGGGCTCCCTGTGCCATGTCAGCACAAGCCATAACTCTTGTATTTTGCATTACTTCATCCTGTCTTTCTGCTTTCTGACCCTCCTACCCGTATTCTCAGTTTTGAGGTTGCACCCCTACCCACAATGCAACCACCATACACTCCAGATCGGGGTGAGAGAACAGAGTGTATAGTATCAGCTTAGGGCTCTACAGAGGGGAGCTTGTGTTGTCTCTGAGGGTGAGGTGCCTTTCTCTGATTTCTCAAAGTCTGCCCTGTGAAAACAAACATCTATATCTTTTCATATCTAGACAAACAGGAGACCACCAGCATATCAGCAAAATCACTGTGGAAAGATACATCCAGTAAAGCACAGAAACATCCAGATGTACTAGCTTAATTTTTTAACGACGAGTTAGTAAACATTTCTGTGCATGGCAGTTATTTAACACACAAATGGCTTCTTGAGTCTAACTTCAGACTTTGTTGACCCACAAGCTGATATTTTCACCCAGAGAAGGTGAAATCTAATGGTCTAAGCTAATTCAAACCCGTAGAAAAACTTTAACCACTGTTTTAGAAATGTCATGTACTCCGCACCAGAAGAAATCCAAGAATTCCCCCTGGAAATAATTTTCCCTTTGCTCTCATATAAGGAATTAACTTAAAGAAGAATTAAATATGTTTGTCTATGCATAATATGATGTTCACACGCAAGGAATTTGGTGTTCCATCAAACCCAAATGGCCAAATATCTCAGTGAAAAAAGAGCTGGCAGTGAAAATGAACAACAAAGAGAGGCCAGAAATCCTTCTAAACGTTGAGGTTTAGTATATAATTTTTCAGCTGTAGATGGAATCTTGTGGGAGAGTGTTTGGTCTGGGAAATAGAAAAGAAGTAACTATCCATCCTATTTTAAAGCCCTTCAGACATACTAAACCCCTCACATAACTCAAAAATAATGAGACACATCCGCTTGATAGTTACAATAGCAACAACTAACAATTACAGCAAAAAAAGCTATGATAGGGGGTGTCAAAAAGGAGGTCATGAGACTGTGACCACTTCACTGCTATTTCTTCCGTGTATGAGCATCATAAGGATGGTCACTTTGGATTCCCGGTACACCTCACACATATCTCTGGGCACTTTCATACCGCAGGGATTTTTTCCAGGTATCAGAACCTTTTTCCGGAACCAGAAACTTTCATCGCACCACCGGAACTCTCCCAGATTGTAGTTCATCAGAGGCAGTTCTGGAACCCTTTTATAGTGCCTATTCAAGTCTAGATAGGGCTGGAACTTGATTCCAGAAAGAATAGACTCCTCATTTCCAGGCAGCTTGGGATCAAGAGTCAACTCCAAAGCTTTGGAGCATCAGGACGAGCTCAAAGCTGTGTTGGACTAGCTCCAGGACATCTTCACCACTAGGAATGAAGATTGCTGACCCACTTCCCTGGTGCGACACATCAACATGGAGGATGCCCTACCCATTTGCCTTCATCCGCACAGACTGCCCCCGGCAAAGCAATAAGTGGCGGCATAGATCCGTCTGTCTGCCTATGGGCAGCACCAGCAGTCCTTGTTACCAAAAAGAATGGGTTGTGCCAGTTCTGCATCAACTACCAAAGGCTGAATGCGGTGATGAGGAAAGACTCCTCTCCACTGCCACCCATCGACAACGCTGGATCGATTTGGTTCAGCGGCATAGACCTCCAGACTGATTATTGGCAGGTTAAACTCAATCCGGAAGCTCGCCCTAAGACTACTTTCACCATCGGACACGGTCTATGGCACTTCCAGTCAATGCCGTTTGGCCTTTGCAGTGCTTCCGCCCACGATCAACAGGCTCATGGAACATGTCCTGGCCCACATTGTCCAAAACCCAATGTGTCCTCTATCTCGGTGACCTGCTTGTACACGCTGCTATCTTTGCTGGGACACTCCAGAACCTTGAAGTTGTGTTCTCTGTGATCTGGCAGGCAGGGTTATGACTGAACCCCCAGAAGTGCTCCCTCCTCCAAGGCCGGATGTGCTACCAAGGTCACATTCTTAGCGCAAAGGGCGTGGCCACTAGCCCAGGAAAGACAGCAGCAGTGAAGGACTGGCCGATTCTGTGCAACATGAAAGAGCTATGCTGCTTCCTGGGGCTGATGTCCAACTACCGACACTTTTTGAAGGACTTCACCAGCATTGGGAAACCGATGCACCATCTTACAGAGAAGGAAGGACGTTTCACATGGACAGACCCCTGCTACAGCTTTTAAAAAGCTTTGCGCAGTGCTCACCTATGCCCCCATGCTAGCTTACCCAGATCCGTGTGTCCCTTTCATCCTGAACATGCACGCTAGAAATGAGGGGCTAGACGCAGGTGGGACCCGAAGAGGTTCACGTAGTTGCATATTTCGGTTAGATACTTAGCCGAGAGGAGCACAACTACTGTGTGACCCGACGGGAACTACTGGCTATGGTGCAGGCATGCAAACACTTCTGTCCCTACCTCTGTGGCCAGTGGTTCCGGTTGTGGACAGACCATCACTGCCGTGCCTCCTAAACTTCCACAACCCAGAAGTATAGCTAGCCTGCTGGCTAGAGGTGCTGGCGGACAGGGGCGGATTAACGCACAGGCTAGATATGGCTTAAGCCTAGGGGCCCCACGTGTGCCAGCCTGCAAGGGGGCCCCCATTGGCGCGGAGCGGGGCGGGGTTGAGGGGCCCACAGACTACTGTAGCCTAGGGGCCTCTGTACACCTTAATCCGCCCCTGCTGGCGGAGTTTGACTTTAAAGTTCAGCACCGCCCCGGGAAATGCAGTCAAATGCAGATGCTCTGTCTCACCGGCTCTACACCATGGAAAGCTGCAGCAACAGTGGCCACTGCCCGCACAGCACTGTCCTGGATCCCTTGCCCCACACTGAGACAGGACAGGACTGTCATGCTGGACCCTGACCGCCAGGTTCCATAACAACCCCTGGCCTACTTGGAGCAGCCATTGCTAAGACTGGTGGTGAGTACCCTGGCAGCAGGGACTGATCAGGACAGGGGGGGTCCCGGAGCCCCACAGCCACAGAGGACTTGCCCCTACCCGGAATGTTTCCAGGACTTTGTGGGGGTTCTGGGATGGTTAACTCCCTAGGAGGGGGGGAGTGTAGCACTGAGGTACTGGCAGACAGCACAGCAGGTTGAACTGATGCCAGTCTTGTAAATAGTTTCCTATAGTCACGTTTATTGTAAGTGTTCTGTAATATAATGTCAAGTGTAGCAAGAAAGGTTAATCGTTATACATAGCATGTCTGTGTGTGCCCACTGTGCATGGCAGAAGTAAGCAGGGCGACGGGCACGGTGGGCAGTGCGAGTGTGTTTAAGTGCGGTAAGTACGACTGGTATGGGTACAATAAAGACCACCTAATGATTAAACTGTCACCGTTTCATTACCTGACCTCGAGATGGCTCAGCAACGTTCTTTTACGTTACGTTTTTGTTTAATGTTGCTGGTGCCTGCGGTGAAACTTGCCAGCACTTATTAGCAAAATAACTTTACATCAATTTTTATTCTGTGAAACCGAAAGATCGATCTGCTGGCCAGATGTAATAATAATATGCGAACATATGCCTATGAATAAAAAATAACAAAATAAAATAAATAAAAGGCTGTGTCCTGCAGTCGAACCCCTATCTGTATGTATGTTTCACACACATGAAATACTCCACAAATTCAAGCTCAATATGAGTGCCCTTTACTTTAGTTCAAAGAGTATCACTGTTTCCTACCACGGCTGGGGGTTCAAATCCCCCTTTGTTCTGTGTTTGAGTTTGTAGTTCTCACGGGGGCTGTATGTTAATCCTCCTAGACAGGCTAACTGGCATCTGTCAATTGCCCGCTGTGTATATTTCATGGAGGAAGTGGCCCTGTCTATAGGATAAATCCATGTGACCAGAAATGTCTTTGTCCAGTAGCTCAGAAAATTGATAAATATGTAATAAAGGATTATTTATGTAGGAAAAAAAAGTAAAATGATCACCAGTGTGAAGATTGATGGATGGCAGTCTTTCAGTTTAATCTGTATTTTTGTCAACCATCCAGATTCTCGGGTGTTTTTACTCAGTAGTAACTGCAGTTAATCAACCGGTCTGATGCCTCGATCCTGGATCTGTCTTAGGGCGCGTTAATCGCTTCAGTCCTGGGAGTCGGTTTGCGATCAGATCGGCGATTCACGGCGATTCACGCAGTCCCTCCCATGTCCGTTTGCCGATGTCTGCGTTTATATTCTGCACAGTGTAAATTTAAAATTTAATTTTACAGAAAGCAAAAAATCCATTGTAGCCCCGCTGCTTAGCATCTCGATCGACTGAACAATCCGCAAATACTGGTTACTTAATTGGCTGCTGCATCTGCCATAAACAAATTATAGATGTGGCTCCAGAGTAAATGATATATTTATACCTTTCTCATCCTTATGTTTGGGTTAATTTAGGGTGTCCGCTCCATCTCCATGGTTTCACCATCTTTCAGCTTTAAAGACAGATTGGCCATAGTGCATTTAATAAGGTTGTATTCGCATATTTTGCAGTAAAACACTAACAATAATAATGAATCTAAAAATCCAAAATATATTCCGGTCACGTTCTTGCAAATTATGCACTTGGAATTATTTTAAGTAGGCTAATTAATTATCGATAGATATAGGCTAGACGCAGTCAGCTACAATTATTCTGTTCATATAGGTTCATACTATTGTTCTGCTTCTGGCCAAGCCGTGTAGCTGTAGTCCGCGGGATTTTTGTTAAACAAATCCGAGCAGGATCATCCGCTAGTCCATTTTGCGAACGCGCGTGCGCGCCCCGACACTGCCGGAGGGAGTAGATAACATCGGGGACGCGCGCCGCTCCGTTTCTTACAAGCGTTGCATCCCAGGACTTGTGTCGTATAAAACTTTTATATATAAATAGTCCTTGTATTTATGTTAGATTTCAGTTCAGTTTGGCAGTGAACTGGCATCTGCATTATTAAATGGATGGAGTTATTATATGTGTTTAGTAATACTTTATTTTCTCTTCTGAGATATTAACAAATGCTGATTCCAAGACACATATAATAACCAGAAGATTTTTTATTTATTTTATGACAATATAAAGCAAATTGTGTTGTGGGCAGGATTAGTTTTCAGACAGAAGACTTGTCTTATTTCATTAAATTATTTGCATTTTGTAAATAACAAATTGCAGGTTGCTGCTACATTTAGTTCGCAATAGGCAGAAACAGTAACGGTGCCTTAATTTGTAATACTGCCCAGCTGCAGTAATTATCATTCAGATCATCATACAACCCTGCAGCGTTTCTCCGGTGTCACATGCTGCTGGCGCTACTTCTTGTCCGTACTTTGGAAATAAATTCTTCTGTGTCGGTCCGGGATATTCGCACTACTTTTCAATTTTAATAATCATCTCGGTATTCTATAAAGCCTAAGGATGTATGCTGGACGTAAAAGAAGAAAACCGGTGTTGAAAACGTAAGTGCAAACTCTGGGTCCGTGTGTTTGATAATCCTTTGCGATCGTTATATATGTCATTTTTCCCTCAGTCGCACCTTTTCCCCTCCTCGTTCATTTTGCACTTTACCTATAAGTGGAGGTCACCTGTCACAAGTTGATATGGGCTGTCAAAAAGTGTTGAGTAAATAAACTGTATAGATCATTTGAAATCATATCTACATCATATAGAGTATGCAGAGTTTTCAGTTAATTTATTAGACGGTCGTTTTGATATTGAGACAAATCACGTGATCCATTAGCAAATATTCGGCTAACAGAAACAAACGCGAATAATTAAAACAGGTTGCATCACCCAGGTTATTATATGTGAACACGCACATGGACAGTCATTCTCGTGTGTTACTATCTAATAAACGCCGTGCTTGTACCGAAACTCAGTCTGGGAATAGCTGAAGTGGCAGCCAACTTAGTCACTGCTCGGACACTTCATGCTTTTAGCCCATGTTAGTCATTTCCCAGTCGGCTGTGCTGTTGATGCCTTTATATAACTTTCTTTTCGTTGAAACCACTTTATGTCGTTTGAAATATATTGTTTACATAATAACAGGCTTGCGTTAACAACTGAAATATACATGTATATATACATTATTGCTGTTATTATTGTTATTTTTATTGTTAATACAATTTGGCTGCTAATAGTAGTAGTACCATTATAAATAGTATCTTATTAAAAATGAAACAAGGTTATTTGGTGCAAGAAAAAAACAAATGTTTACTTTGTGTTATTTTTTTAACTAAAATATAGACTAAATGAAATTCGACAGGAAGTTTTCCTACTGCTTTAATAGATATGGTACGTTTTACCATCGCAATATTTTCTGGGTCTGAGTTATTTCGTTTTTTCTATTACTCGGTGGCTCGTCACAGATACAGGTATTGCAATAATAATGATTATTATTATTATTATTATTATTATTATTATTATTATTATCGTCATCATGTACCAGTATTTTGCGGTAATTTCCCAGCAGTCCAAATAAAATGAGAACAAGGAATGTAATATTTAACAGATGTAATTAATAGGCCTATAGTTATATATTTTCTCTATGGAATACTGTGATGCAGGAAATGCTTTTTCTCCGGCTCAGAGTTAAACCTCAACCAGCCGAAGGGACCAAGTCAAACCCGTCAAAGCGCCACCGGGATCGGCTCAACTCCGAACTGGAGCGCCTGGCCGGCCTCCTGCCTTTCCCGGAGGAAGTGACATCGAGTCTGGATAAGCTGTCAGTCTTACGGCTGAGCGTCAGCTACCTGCGAACCAAGAGCTTCTTCAGCGGTAAGAGCGGCTCTCTCGCCACGGCAGGTTGCAGATGCGCGCTCATGTTGAACTAATTAATATTACTGCCTAACTCGTATATTGTGTCCTGTCGCAAAGAGTGCTGTGGTGAACACTTCATATTTTCAGGGAGCTTTAATTATTTAAAAAACTCTTAAGTTATTTATAAAACAGAAGAAAGGGAATGTTTTTTAAGAATTTAAGTGGTTATTGAAGTGAGCGGAATGGAAACATTGCTTATGATCCTAGCGTGGGTTTGGGGGCGTTTCAGGTCACAGTGCTGGTCCCAGTGCACCCGCTGAGCGAGCGCCTCTGAGTGTGCGCATGCGCTCTGCGTGGATCGGACTCAAAGGAGCGCTGAGAAACTGCCTTGGGGCAGAGCTGGGAATTAGCGGAGGTCTAGTGTGTGTCACACAGACGAATGACGAAGCCTTCAATGAAGAAAGGACAGCGCACTAAAGTAGCCGTGACTCAAGAATAAGGAGTTATTATTTAACTCTTTAATATCAATTGCATATATTCATCAGGACATAAGAGATGCGCTACGTTATTTATCCCTGAAAGGGAATTACAACATTGTAGCGGCTAAGATTCTGATAGCAAAATCACAGAGAAATATTCACTGTAATAATAATAAATGCTGCTCCATTTTCATATATGATGAGTACTGTAAACATGGAACACTTTCTGAAAATTTGCTTTCTGGAAAAATCATCTGTGTCTTGAATTCCAACTTGATACCATTCTAAATACATTGATGCCTCTTGAACACTATACAGAAAAGTACTACTAAACACATATATTAAAGTTTGACTGCCCCATTTTGCCAGGTGTCCCATTTTCACAATATTCATCCTATATAAAAACAAAAACATAGCATTAGGAAATGTCTTTATTGTGCAGAACAATAGCCCATAGATTCCATTTGTCTCTCAGTCTGTCTTTGCCCATTTCATGTGGTATGTGGCTCTGCAGATTAGGCCGATGTGCCTGTAATAAGAAGGTTGCTGGTTCAAGTCCCAGGGTTGCTTGATTGGATGGAAGTAGCTGTTAAATAAATTAAATGTAAGTTATTTCAAACTGATTGACTATTTAGCTGCATCCTCCCCCCTCTCTCCCCCCCCCCCCCCCCCCCCCCCCCCCCCCCAACCCAGTCATGCTATTCCTTGATTAGACCACCGCATGTGTTTTCTGAGGCTAATGACCAGCAGGCAGTAAAATGGAAACAACTGAGGTACAAGGTTTGCGTCACGAACTAAAAGACTTATCATTAAGCATAACGAAACAATACAGTCCCTCGTTAAAGTACAAGTCATGTCGGAAAGCTAAGAGGTTTTACAGACCAGTATCACTCCCATCCATTGTCAGTAACCACCTATCCAGTTAGCGTCACAGTGATCTGGAGTCAATCTTGGAAAGCATATGGCACAAGGCAGGACAGGCCGCTGTGTGTGATGTTCAAAGGAGATCGCTCACAGAGAACATCTTTATGCTTTCACGGCCTTGTTTTCATCATGGTGAAAGAAGACAAACCGCAAAATTCATTTGCTTTTTTGTTCTCTTCTGGGATTCCCGGCCAAGGGAGAATGTTCCCAAAGCCGGAATCTGCCACTATGTTGCTGGGCAGTGGGATGGGTGACTGGTTAATTTCAGATATGTGTCAGTTTGTTTGTTTTTTTTTGTTTTGTTTTTTTTTTTTTGTTTTTTTTTTGAGGACCAGAGCTTTTTTGCACAATTCTTACCAGATCGCTGAAGTTCTTGATGGCAAACTTCATGCAGGCTTCATGCATCCCTTAACTTTAGTGGGCTGGGTGTTGTTGGCCACTTTTTCTAGCATCTCTGTCATGCAGTTCCGACCTCATGATAACATGTCGCAGAAGTGTCCTCCCCGCTTCAGAAGTGCAGCCTGATACAGACAGTCTTTGGGTAGTATTTGCACCATCAATCCTGTTGACATACTCACCCGTAGTACCTGATATTTCTTGTGAGCTTCTCCCCATTTGACCTTTTCTATGAGTTTACTAGAGTTTTGGTTTCTTTAGTCTTCAACACACACACACACACACACACACACACTATGGACAGCTGAGTCACTGGACTGCAGGAGGTAGCTGGCTGTGTTACCCTGGGAGAACAAGCAAACTGGCCAAGGTTTTCAGGTGTGTTGGTGCGCGCATGAGTACTGGCCTTGTGCTTCCTGTGTTAATATGTCTGAATGAGAAGTGACTCAGAAGAGCGATGTGTTCATGCCTGGCAGGCCTCGATAGGGTGTCTTGCTATTTGTATTTTGCCAAGGATAATGACATGGTCAGAGAGAGAGAGAGAGAGAGAGAGACTGACTTTTAAAAACCTCTTTATTAACACAAATGCACAATTAAGCCTTACTCAAAAATATAGATGAAAAATAAAAGGAAAAACAAACGGATATTTCAAACCCATTCGAACCCACTGTAAGGTACCTGGTAGCTTTGGTGGTACCTAACCCTGCCAACGACCACTCAAAACACACCAACACTTATTCCAATTAACACGCGCTGAAGATGCCTTCTCGTACAGCTCTAACCTGCGCGTAAGCGCCTGAACATCCCCTCCCCCGCACGAACACTGAAACGTCATCAGCATAAGCAGACAAAATAATGTGCCCCATGCCCAGGAGCCCCTACATCTCAGCCCTCAGCCGACACAGCAAGGGCTCGATGGCTAGACAGTATAGCTGACCAGACAAAGGGCAGCCCTGCCGTATACCCCTCTCTCTCTCTCTCTAAAGTGCAGAGAGAGAGAGAGAGAGATGTGTAGGATGGAAATAATAAACGGCAAGTGAAGGCGACTGACATTGTAGCATGGAGGTTGAAAATACGCAAGCTCAGAAAAAGGGGAAAAAACAATGTAGCATGTCTTCAGTTTCTTTTTTATTACTTTTGATCGATTAAAGGGAGAGTCTAAATAATTTGATAATTTGATACACCCATAACATACCCGTTTCTGATTGGTTGCCCTTCCACCTTCGCCCAACACCATAGTAATGTTTCTGTAACCCATGACTGTTATTTCTCTTTTATTTTCTTTAAATCAGCACGGTGGTGGTTACGTCCAGGCAGAATCTCCCCTGGCGCTCTGCTCCCGCCCTGTTAGCCTAAACGGCTCCTCCGCAGTAAAAGGCCTGATCCGGTAAATTCCATTCTCGTCCAATGGTCAGAAAGCACAGGGCGTCCAACCCCTGATATTTACTGCACTTGTCGCTGCTTGAAGCTCTAAGAGTTGCCGCACTGCCCGGGTCCTGGCTGCGGAGCGCAAACGCCGACATTTTACCCTTTGGAGGCCTTGCAGCCTTCCAGTCTTCCTGTAGATTATGAGATTTGTTTTAGGGCAGGGCTGCGTCCCAGGCTGAAGCTAACCGCCGCTGGGTTTGACGGTGCTGACTTCTGGGTGGGTGCCATTAGTGATGGAAGGAGGCTTCAGTGGGCCCCAGCTTCAGACCACACCCGAGCCCAGAAGCTCAGAAGCTCGTTCCCTCGATCAGTCATTAAACATGAAGAACAATATGTGGGTCTGGATTATATTTCCTGCCGTTACGGTTCATGGAGCACCATCTTCATAAAGCCTTTTTGACTCAGAGTGTGTCTCTCAGAGCTGATTACCCCCCCCACCACCATTATCCCACCCAGATTCCCCATCTTTGGATGTCCTTCTCCTCAGATGTGGGTGGAGCTCTGTTCCTGGCCAGATGACACACGGTCAAGTCCTGCCCCGCAAGCCGGGACACAGTGCCCCAAATCCTGACTGAGGGCCAGCCTCCTTTTTGCATGTATTCATTTTATACGCTGTTCAAGTGTCTGGCATAAATCCTTTTTGCTTTTGCACATATTTTGGTAGGTAACTGACTATCTTCCTTATGGGAACAACAGCAAAACCACTTTTGGGAAAATAATCACTACCCTTTCAGCGAATTCCTTAAATACTGCTCCTAAATGCTCCCTTTCAGTGAGCCGTTTGCTATTCTGTAAATACTCATTATAGAGTTTCTCAAATGCTGCTCTGCGTGCTGGCTGTGCGGTACACAGGCCGTCTGCCTCAGGTGTCAGTCTGAGCCCTGACAGCTGCTCTGCCAATAAGCTGATCAGGATTTATTACATTCTTTACATTCCTGGTTCAGCTAAAGTGGCCTGTGATACAGCTGGTTTTATTGAATCCGGGGTCCTGATCTGGGACTGTCGTTGGATCATACATCCGAAAACTTTAGGAAAGAGTGATTAAAATCCCCCAAAATGTTTCTGGACTTTTTCCTCTTATTTTCAGAGGAGTGCAAGTCTATGATTGGGGCATTTTGCCCTGAGCATTAACTTACAGATCGAATGCATCGCGGCCATTTCATGGCGTCTTTGGAGGAACTGGTAATGTCAAGTAAGGGCCAGAGGGGGCGCCAGGCACGTTAAGTGTCCCCACCCATTACAGCACCACCCAGCACTGAAGGGTGGGTAGCGGAAGTTGCTGGAAACCATGTGGCCGGGATGCTAAGGCTAACTTTCACATTAAGTAATATTTAAATTATTCTTTAAAAAAACCTGCATTTGGCAGCTTAGAGAGGATGACCTACATAATAATCATAACTAGTGTGCGAAATACCCATAAATATTCGGGGGGTCCCCATCTCCCTATTGTTGCGCAATACCGATCTTGAGACCCCCTTAAAATTTTTTCTTTTGAGGCTTTCAGGGGGTCTCATTGGTTCATCGGGGGTGCCGGACCCCCCCCATATTTTGTACACTGATCATAAAACTGATTTCGTTGTTAGACAAAATTAATCCTTAACAGGAAAAGTATTACAGTCTGAAGCTGGAAATTGACAAAGCAGCTTTTTAAAAAGGCTGTTTATGAAAGTATGTCTGTCCTACATTTGTCCCGACACCCTGATGTTTCTCTGACTCTTGCTTTGGCTGACATATCAATGCTCTCTACTTTAAAAATAGGACAGAGGAAATCCTTCATGCTCTGGCTCTGTG